AGTATCTTCGGATATTGGGTCAATTTTAAATAATGATTCTTGGAACGGCTATATATTTTCAATCTTCATGCCGAGACAAAATATGGTAATGGGACGTACGTACGCAGGTACGGGGTAACGCATGGGTATGAAAATTGTTTAAAACGCACACTGTTACCATTAAAATGATATAAATTGTATTTTAGATACTCCACTCAATACTTGGGCGGATCACATGATCATTCGGTATATGCGGTAAAAATATAACAGGTACACTCGTCTTCAGAGAACATGTCGCGGTTGGACGGTATGAGCGCTCTTATTGCAGCAGTGAATTAGAGAGCTGACACCGTCCATGTGCGGCATGTTTTCTGAAGAAGACTGTACAGTCATAGTCAGATGCTTTGAACATGTCGCACAAGGACAGTGATAGCACATCTATAGTCACTTCTGCAATAATAGCGCTACCACCATCCAACCGCGACATGTTCTCATTTGACTCCATCATGTATGTACAGTCGTCTTCAGAGATCATGCCACGGTTGGACGGTGTCAGCGCTCTTTATTGCAGGAGTTATCGAGAATGCTATCATCGTTCATATGCGACATGTTTTCTGAAGATGACTGTACTTAAACACTCATTGAATCATTTTTTCCATCGATTTCTGTTGAAGTTTTGATGATTTCTGGTTCCAGAAAATTTCAGAGATAAAATGTTGGTATTGCAATTGTCACGAGTATAGAGTAGAAGATACGGTATATTAGTAATTTCGAACCATGAGGGTATATTATAAATATAGAGTTAATTGACATTGAACGATGACAACTGACCAAGGAACTCTCATGAGAAACGTGCAAGTCTAATGAAATGGAAAAGGAGCATGTTGCTGCCGTCAAAATAAGAAGAAAAGTTCGTATAAATATATGTCCGAAAGTTATTCGTTTCTGAGATACAGAGTGTCAAAGTTTAATTCTTATTTTTGTTTTTTGTTAATAAATTTTAAAATAATCGTGATATTAGAATGAAATTTGGTATATTTCATAGATACAGTCGATGACCAATTGAAATTACCATCAGTGATATACACTGCTCGCTAGCAGCCATGGATCCACTTATATACATGCTAGGAAAATCATATTACCAGACGGGATAGGTTGAAAATCACTTCGCATTCGAGAATAGAAAACAGAACATTTAATTCAATAACTACTCATATTCCTTCTGAAAAATTTTCAGTTAGTTCTGAAATAATAAATTCTGCCTCTATCTTCATGAAAGCACCCCAGTATCTTACGTAATTATTGATGTAGGAGTCTGAAAGTTTTAGGACCAAGAAAGAAACCAATGACCAAGTAGGATCATTTAATTGTTGTTCCGAAATTGGTAATCATGAGGTCAGTTCTCATCACGAATAACGAAATAACAATCTGAACTAGTACAAATCGAATAGATTATCAGGAGTGATCCAATGGATCAGAAATCATGACGGGTGTCATTGAAATGAGTTATGAATGAATGGATTTGTTAATAGTATGAGGAAAATCGTCAAAATATGGGTAGTAAATGATCTGGACGTCCTGTTTTTGGATGTGGAGTGATTTTCAACTTGTCTCTTAATATTATTTTCCGGACATGTGTGTAGTTCTACGGCAGTTGGCGAGCAGTGTATATCACTGAAGATGATTCCACTTGGTCATAGAGTTCATTTTTGGTATATCTTCCGTTCCAGAAAATTTCAGGATCCTTACCCAACGATTACGTAAGAGACAGGGGTGTTAGAAATGAGACACACTGTATATATTATAATATGAACCTGTCGAGAAAACGGAAGTGACTCACCACAGAACTGATATAGATTTCTTGGAAGACTATGAATAGCAAAATTATTCACATTTAATTATGACTGCAGTGAATTGGGTATCACTCCATCACATTGATCATGATGAAATTGAAAACCTCTTACCTAGTTGGTAAAGCTATCTATATCTAATCTCAGATTTCAGTTCAATGGGAAAACATAAAATATGGGGGACATAGGAGAGCGCTTTCGCCAAAGACAAGGAAGGAATCCACCAAAATTTAAAGTCGGTCATTTTCATATTCTAATTGGTATCTATACCCCTCAAAACAAATGTGTGAAAACTCTCATTCATAGTATACTAAGTATACAAGGTGATTTCGAAATAAGTACATACACAGGGTGATCAAGTGCTTTGTACATCAATTTCGAGCGATCGTAGAGACTCTCAAAATGAGGGGAATTCAAAACATAGGGCGATAAAATTCGATTAAAAAAGTTGGTTATTCCTTTTCTAAGGATTCTAATAAAATATACAAGTTTGGCCCACGCCTTCCTATGTCAACCTGCGTCTACATTACATTACAAGCTATACAAATAGTTACAGGAATCCATGGGCGTAGATACTGTGTAAAAATGAAGCTCTCTTCTCTATGACCAAGTGGGGTCCTTTTCAGTGCTATACACTGCTCGCCAACAGCGATGGAACCACCCCAATTTCCGGAAAATGATATTAGGAGTCAAAATGGGTTGAAAATCACTTCGAATTTGGAATCAGGACGCCCAATTCACTAAGTATTTATAGTTTTCCGAGAAAATTTTCAGTTCAGAAAAAATAAATTTTGTCGCACTTCTCATGGAAGCACCCCCGTATATCACGTAATTATTGAGGTAGTGTTCTGGAATTTGCAGGAAGAAGAAGAGAAAGTCTAAAGATAAAGTCAATTACGTAAGATACGGGGGTGCTTCCGTAAAAAGTGCGACAAAATTTAATATTTCAGAACTGAAAATTTTTCAGGAAATATATGAATAGTTAGTGAATTGGGCGTCCTGATTCCGAATCTGAAGTGATTTTTGACCTATTTTGACTCCTAATATCATTTTCCGGAAATTGAGGTGGTTCCATGGCTGTTGGCGAGCAGTGTATATCACTGAAGATGACCCCACTTGGTCATAGCGTTTCGCAGTTAATCAGATTAATATAAAGAAGGTACTGTTTTTTGCAAGAAAACACAAGCTTGCCACCTTAGTTACAAGTATAGTAGTATATACTTGATTTGACTGTCAGAAATTATTACTTGACTTGAGCTTGTCTTGATTTCAATTCTCGTTTCCTTGTTAGTCAAGTCAAGTCAAGTAGTTAGAAAATCAAGTCAAGTCGTGAATCTCTAGCTAACAAGTTTGATTTCTAATAGTGATGAAAGGGTTAGATAACACAAAATCATCTACACAACGTGTAATAATCGAAAGATTAGTTAGGGTAACATGTTTCGGACAGTCTTGTGTCCATCATCAGCCTTAATCATTACAAACCGAAGGTCATATGATATGATATAAGTTAATCATGAAAAATATATGAAATAGAGAACTTACGTGGGAATGAAAAAACATTATGAAAAACTTTGAATAAAATTATTGTGCAAAGCACTGGTTGAGGGTCAGGTTAATTGTAAAGGGGTCCTGGGCCCCTATGAGGACGTACATGATCAAGATTTAATAGCAAAACCCATTTTTGGAAAAAACCGGAAAAACGGTGGAGTCAAATAATTACTCGAAAACAAACCTACATCATCAGATGATGGAGTAAAAGTGACGTTCTTAGCAATCCACAAAACGCAAACGCAAGTTCTGTGATGACAAGACACATTTGACAGTGACAAATGTCAACTGTCCGTAGATAAAGAATAGTGGACGACCAGAAGCACCACTCGACCTAAATCAATGAGAAAATACCTAGGTAAACATATTTGAATGAACATAAAGGCGGGTAGTTACAAAAGCGTAGAAGCGCCATATGATTTTTTTTTATAATTGACAGATATAACTGTCAACTAGCCTAATTGACAGATACTTGTGGTAAGTAGCCTACTTGACAGATACTAAGTAACTAGTATACTTGACAGATACTTAAGTGTCAAGACTAGTATAATTGACAGATACTAAGTGGTAAGGAGCCTACTTGACAGATGGTAACTGGTAACTAGTATACTTGACAGATACTCAAGTGTCAACTAGCATAATTGACAGATATTGAGTGGTATCTAGCCTACTTGACAGATACTAAGTGGTAACTAGCATACTTGACAGATACTAAGTGGTAACTAGTATACTTGACAGATACCTAAGTGTCAACTGAGATGTGTCAACTAGCATAATTGACAGATAGGACAAGAAACTCGCGATCGGCGCCATCGCCAAGACACAAAGACGAAGAAGAAGAAGTGAAGATCTTTAAATTTACATCCAAGTCTGGTCTCCGGTGGCATGGTGAGCTGGTGAGGCGACTAATAATAAGTCTCAATACTAAAGTTATTAATGGTTGTGTAATCAAATATTCACTATTTTTCTGTCAAGTAGGCTAGTTACCACTTAGTATCTGTCAATTATGCTAGTTGACACTTAAATATCTGTCCAATATACTGGTTACCACTTACTATCTGTCAAGTAGGCTACTTACCACTTAGTATCTGCCTATTAGGCTAGTTGACACTTGAGTATCTGTCAAGTATACTAGTTACCACTTACTATATGTCAAGTAGGCTACTTACCACTTAGTATCTGTCAATTATGCTAGTTGACACTTAAATATCTGTCAAGTATACTGGTTACCACTTACTATCTGTCAAGTAGGCTACTTACCACTTAGTATATCTGTCAATTAGGCAAGTTGACACTTGAGTATCTGTCAAGTATACTGTTTACCACTTACTATCTGTCAAGTAGGCTACTTACCACTTAGTATCTGTCAATTAGGCTAGTTGACACTTGAGTATCTGTCAAGTATACTAGTTAGCACTTGGTATCTGTCAAGTATGCTACTTACCACTTAGTATCTGTCAAATAGGCTAGTTGACAGTTAGTATCTGTCAATTATAAAAAAAATATATCATGTGGCGCTTCTACGCTTTCGTAGGTATTAGAGACGAAAGCAGGAAAAATGATTTCAAAACTGAAAGATAAGTTGATTGAATAGAAATAAATATATTATCATTTTGGTTTTAGATCCTCTAGAATGGAGCAGCTCACACATAAAATCCTGGCTGGGCTGGATTACTCGGAAGTTCTCTCTTCACCCGAAACCGGACCCCGAGAAATTTCCCGGAACGGGTGCAGAAATCTGCGATCTAAGCAGAACCGATTTCGAAGTCAAAGCCGGTAACGCCAGATCAGGTAGGGATGATTTTTTTTATCCGGTCAATATTTCTTAGAATGGCGGCACCTCCAGTGAGGCGGGAAGAAAGATGAATGAGTCTGGCATGAGATGCAACTTTCACTGTTCTCGGTATTATCGGGCGCACTGTACAATCAGTATCTATGTACAGTGTGTCTCAGCTGAAACTTGTCACCCCCAAATCTCCGATATCGTTGAAAAAATTGAAAATCACTCGGATATGTCGATTTCAATTTGGCGGGGGACACATTTTTCTGCAATTATCATATTCGAAAGTTGAAATCTTGAAGCGTAACGGGCATCAACTCTCGATTTTCAAATGGAGCACCCTGTATTTCATTGCATTTTTAGATTCTTCCTGAAGAGCTGCTTTTAGCAATGTATCACACTTGGTGTCTATAGCGGGAATGATTACAGAGATATAGGGTGTTCAAAATCGAGATTTTTTAACTTTAGGATTTTTTAGTGTCGAAACCATTCATTATTGGTCAGAACGACTCACTTGTCCCCATCTTAACTTTTGATTCACTATCTACTGATATTTAATTTAGAAGAATACAGGGTAGTTCAAAATTCAGAATTATGAACCATATTCGAAAAACAACTGAATTGTATTATAACAATTTGAATTTGGTAGGTACAGGCACTTCTAACAAATTATGCGGCAGCGTCATCTTCATTCTCCATCAAAATGATGTTTTTTTCTGTGACGGAAAGAAAGTTCGACATTCCATCTCTGTTGACAGGTTACACAATGTTTCTTTTCATAAATTACTTTTTCCCACGGGAAAAAAATTGAGTACTTTTTCCCCCTTATATATTTATATCCATCTACATTATATGTATGTGTATATATAGAAGCAGAAGGGTACTCTTTTGGTGACTAGTTGGTTACAAAAATAACTCTAAAAATATTTGGGACTGCAGCAAATTTCCAATATTTCGACAATGAATATTGTCATCATCAGGGAGTAACAAATTTTGAAAAACTTTTTCAAAAAATTGTTTGGTAAAATTATTAGGTAAAATACTTACAATAGGAAATTGAGTTGATCCACAAGACACATTAAACAATTGTAATACATTGGAACAGTGAAACAATTTGATATCAATTTAATATTGCAAACAGTTTACTGTGAATGAAATTTATTTTTTCAATTATATTCGGATGCCGAAGCACATGGCATGCTCGAATTCAGTGAAAAAATTGTGGGAAAACTTTTATTGAGGTTAACATTGGCAATTATCAATTGACAATGAATCAGTCATTTGTGTGTGTGTGTACATATACAGGGTGGCCCAAGGTCGATGGTACCTTAGACGTATACGGAAAACGGTACATTGGATTATCCTGAAAATTTGGTTACTCTAATAAGCGTTTGTGATCTAACGATTCAAAATATTTTCAGCGATGCAGCGTTGCCACTTTTACCAAAAAGTAGCATCATCTTTGTTATTTCAAATGGAACACTCTGTATTTCATTGCGTTTTTAGATTCTTCTTGAAGAGCTGATTTCATCAATGCATCACACTTGAGGTCTAGCAGGAAATATTACAGAGATATAGGGTGTTCAAAATCGAGATTTTTCAATTTCAGGAATTTTTTGTGTCGAAACTATTCATTTTCGATCAAAACGGCTTACATGTCCCTATCTTAACTTTTGATTCACTATCTACTGACATTTAATTGGAACAGATACAGGGTGATCAAAATTATGAATCTTGGACCATCCTGTATTTTTTCCAATTAGATGTCGGTAGATAGTTAATCAAAAGTTAATATAGGGACATGTAAGCCGTTTTGACCAATGATGAATAGTTTTGACACAAAAAAATCCTAAAGTTGAAAAATCTCGATTTTGAACACCCTATATCTCTGTAATAATTCCTGCTAGACCCCAAGTGTGATACATTGATGAAATCAGCTCTTCGAGAAGAATATAAAAACGCAATAAAATACAGGGTGTTCCATTTGAAATAACAAAGATGATGCTACTTTTTGGTAAAGGTGGCAACGCTGCTTCGCTGAAAATATTTTGAATCGTTAGATCACAAACGCTTATTAGAGCAACCAAATTTTCAGGATAATCCAATGTACCGTTTTCCGTATACGTCTAAGGTACCATCGACCGTGGGCCACCCTGTATATATACACAAACTGTTGATGGCTTTTGTTGTGCTGGTTCCGAAAAATAAACCAATAACACCCTCTCCGAGAAACAACTGCAAGTCCTTTTATCTTCCATTCCACTTCCCATTTACGTGAATTACTAAAAAAACACTAAGTTAACAATTTATCAAAATTATAACACAGAATAAGACTGAATGGGATATTTGATTACTTCAAAACAATGATAAAGATGCCTGCAAAAAGATGCATACACACAGGTGTAATTCCTCTTCAAAATTTCAAATTTATCGTCGATAATTTTCTGTTTTTAATATAATATCTTCTCAATATCCATTCATCCTTTTTCGTATCACTGGAAAAAATTGTGTATTATATACGGAAAAAATACACCAATTTCGTTTTTCAGGTACAATTCTTGCCAAATATATAGCCCACCTACGACATAGCGTAACTGGGAGGTCGAGTAGTCCTTTGGACGTCGAGTGTAAAGAATTTGGAGATGACACAGATGACGAGGATCAAGGTGAAGATTACGAACTTTTTATAACTATTTATTTGTTGCTATCAGGTACCTATTTTTTGTGTTTTCTTAGTTAACTAGTGTTGGGATTCTTTTTTCTCCTTTTCATGGAAAAACCAAATGCAATTTTCCTTCAATTGGAACTTTGTTTAAATGAAAAATATCCATAGCCCACTATTAAAATTCAATGTTTTAGTGATTTTGGAGCATTTTTGAAAATTTCATATTTATAGGTACATCATCTTTCATTTTGCTGGGAAAAAATAAGGAATTCAATGAGCTTATAAAATACAGGGTGTTCCACTAAAAAAATCATAAGTTTGAGTCGTATCTCCAAAACCATACCCCGAAAAAAAAAAAAATGTGAGTGCGCCAATGAATTCTGCAAAAAATTCTGTATGGGATAAGATTTCAATTTGACATTTTCGCTGAGAAACTTCGTAGATATAGAGGGGGTCCAAAAAGTATAAATTTTCAAAATCACCCTGTATCTCATAAACGCAAACAGTTATGCAAAATCTGATTAGGCCATCTTGAGTTTCACGAAAAAGTGGTACAGGACCGCGAGAACCGCAAGGTTCTATCTCGAAAGATAACTGAGATATCACGCAAAAGCATCGAAAACTGGACACACTGTACAGGGCACGAATGATTTTCAAATTTTAAAATAGAACACCCTGTAACTCAGACAGGAGATATTTTATCCAGGTGATTTTGATTTCAGGATTCTACACACACTGGCACAATTAGGGGAACGGGCAAAATTTACACTAAATTTGACATCAGTTTTCTTTCGAACCGAGCGCTCGATTCAAATTTTTTTCTTCACGAAATGTAGCTTCATTCTCCACGAATACATCTGAGAAATAATTACCTTCAAACGATGAGTCTTTCCATCATATACAGGGGTGTTAGGAAAGTACGGATTTTTCGGTATTTTTTTAGACATCCTGTGGACTGAACCACTGATAATTGAAACGATTTCTCAACACCAAATTGGAGCCCAATCTATCCCGAATATTTTCGTTTTTTATTCATCTTAATATCTCAATTATTCAAGAAAATACAGAGTTTCAAAGGGAAGGTGGATACTGGTATCAATTTTACACCTCAAAACTCAAATTGGATCTGAAAATGTGTCGTTTCTTGACTAACCTAACCATGACTAAACCTCTGCCATAGGAGACAAAAGCAGTAAAATCAAATTGTTCATTTTGTTCACCTAGGCGATATAGTCTTTCCCTGCCATCTATTGAATTGGTGCAGATGCGCGGCTCTCATATGTTGAAAGAACATTGATCCACTGGTCATTTTCAATTAATGCTACAGCCCTCGCCACATCAGTATAGGAGTCAAATCTCTCACGTTGAATTTTCATTAATCAAATTTATGAATTGTGAATCGCTTGACTTTGACAATAATTAATGACATCAACAAAATAGCCAACGTTGATTAACAAAAATAGCATTTCACCAAAAGAACATTGGAGCAACTTTCATCACCCCTGCATATTCATGAGAATATTCGTATATGTGTCTTTGAACAGTAAACCAATAGGTAAAACTGTGAACAATTCTCATCTTGAAGTAAAAATCCTCACAGAAACAAGTTGAAAAACGACCCGTTCTCCCCAGTTCGAGTTTCGAGGTGGTAAAATGAATACCAATCCACCTCTTCTTTGAAACTCTATATTTTCTTGTATAATTGGGATATCAAGATGAATAAAAAACGAAAATATTCGGGATAGATTGGGCTATAATTTGGTGTTGGAAAATCGTTTCAATTATCAGTGGTTCACTTCACAGGATGTCTTAAAGAATACCGAAAAATCCGTACTTTCTTTACACCCCTGTATAATATGATATAAAGACGAATCGTTTGGAGGTGGTTATTTCTCAGATGTATTCGTGAAGAATAAAGCTACAATTCGTGAAAAACAAATTTGAATCGAGTGATCGGTTCGAGAGAAAATTGATGTCAAACTTAGTGTAAATTTTACCCGTTCCCCTAATTGTGCCAGTGTGTGTATGTTGAAATATTTCCAATTAGTAATGAATCACCCTGTATAGGTAATTAACGCCCAATCAAGCAGATCATGTATATCCTCAGTGAAATAACACATATTGCTGGCTTCGATCTAAAACGATTCCAAGAATAGTCAAGGTGGCTGTCGCCATTCTATTCGGTTTCGGTGGAATGGAAAGTTGTGGGTTTTCGTTGAATTATTACTGTGAAGTCTTGCAAGCGCCGAATAATTATCGATGTGGACCGGTCTCTGTATATTGAAAGCGGACAAGGCCGTAATTCTTTTTTTCGGCCTGTGAATCACTATCATCAGACAGTGTTTTTCCTAGTATTCCATGGATTATATGTATATCTACTATACAATTTATTAAGTTGAGCAATAATCCACGAGACTATCATATTACTCATAGAAATTAGATGAATTATTATCATTCACTATACAGGGTGTCTGTTTTTCGACCATGGGGATCTCAATTATCATAAGAGATACGAGGTCGGTTAAATTAAGACAAAGTTGCTCATTTTCATTCTGAACATTTATGTCTGCAAGAAAATTTGATGTGTCATTATTAGTTTTTGAATTATTGGAAGGAAATGTATAATGTATAAATTTCGTTTCCTTTCAAGGGATCCAGACGTAAGATTTCTTTCAAAATAAATATATTATTATAGTAGTTTAAAAAACTAAAAAAAAAATATGTGTTCATAGGGAGACTAATTAAAAAAAGTTGAAAATAAAATAATAAAAGTGTGTTGATAAAAACACATAGAAACACAATAACGCACACAATATGTTGTGTTCACAATGGATCATTTGAAAATCCAATAATTGAAAGAAACAAAATGATGGAGGATCCAGAATTTTCGTGAGTTTCAAAAATCTCAGGCGAATAAAAACAATTTTATTCTTCCAATCAGGACCGATACAATTCCAGATCATTGTGTAGTTGTGTACCACAATTCTTTAGCTTTGAAATAACTCTAGAAATCCAAATTCGATTGAATTTTCATGAAGCCTGAAGCAAAATAATAATAATCGTTTATACGAGATTAGCACATTCACTCCATAACAAATTGCAAAGAAATGAGTGTATATCTACTGGACTATTTGTTCGATTTCGATGTTCGAGTACTCATTCTCTTCAGAAATGAATAGCCTAAGATGACATCGGTTCAGGTTGGAAATAAACCGATTTTCTTTCTCTCCAGCGGTTTTTGTAAATGCCAATACTTTGGTAGATTCCGCCATTTTGTTTTTGTTCATTATGAAATTTTCAAATATTCCACTGTATACTATAGCCCTTCAGCTATGAAACGACGCCAAGAGATTCGAATTCGGTTGGGAAATGATGAAACCACGAGGAAAATAAAAACTTCCGGTTTTTTTGTGACCACCCTATATACAAACATACAATGCAAGTTAAATGAAAGCTTTTAATTTAATAACTGTTTATAAAAATAATAAAAACACACCCGAGTTGTATAAGAGAGTTTGTATCGAAATCTATGTTTCGATATCGGTCTGACGTGTTAAATAACGAACAATTTAGGAACGGGCAGCGATAAGATAGATAAGAAACCCCTTGGAAGGAAAGCGTAATCCGGTTTTGCCGGAAAATGAGTGGAATTGGAAATGGAAACGATTACGTCGGAAAGAAAAGGGGAAAGGCCAAATCGACTTCTACGGAAGGAACCATTATAGGGTTTGCAATTGAATAAATCCAATTACTATTAAGGACGATAAATAGGAAACCGATACGGGATTTTTCCAAATATTTTGCCGACAGGGTGATTGCTAACAGTATGACAAAAGAGTCAAGCGAAACAGAGGGTGTCCACCAGTTCAAAGAGATAGTGCGATATTATGTGCCTTAGAGAATATACAGGGTGTCCCATGTTTAACTAGTTTTTGGGCAGTCGACATAGAAAAATTGGGTTTCAATAGACGGGGTCTTGAATTTTGTTGACATTTTTGGTTTTCAACTTTTTTTTGTTGAAACAAAAGCTATCAATCGAAATTCGCTGACGACGTTACATATACAGTGTGTCCCACTTACCATGCTTACCATGGGTATCTTTTTAACGGTGACAATCATTATGGAATTTTTGTTGAAATTGAAAAAAATGGTTTCTCCAAGATGGCGGACAAGATTTGGTCCGATTCCAATCAAAGTTGGTAAGTGGGGGTTTTTGAGATCGGAGATCATGATTTTCTTGTTGAAATTTATAAATTCAAGATGGCGGCTTCCAAATAATTTTTTGTTTTGGTATAAATGACGATAACTCTGTTGTTATCAACACAAAACTATTACTGCGACATAATATCATCTGTAAGAGAAAAAAACGTTATTTGTAAGTCATATGTGAGGTATGACCTACATATGAAAAAATAAAGTTGGTGCTGATATCTCAAATTCCAGAAGCGTTGGAATAAATTTCATATTTTTGAAATTCCTATTCGAATATTTTGATGAATAAAGAAGTTACGGAGGAGACATGAAAATGATCAAAATCTGTTTTTTGCGTATAAAACAAAAACGAATAGATTTTATCAAAATATTTTTTCACATTATAGTTCACCTTGACAAACTCCACATTTGGTGTCATTAACCGACCTCGTATCTCTCACCGGTAAAAAGACACCCATGGTGAGCATGGTAAGTGGGACACACTGTATTAACAGAATGATAAACAGTACGAATATTCCATATATCGATAGATTCATCGAAGGTGATGTATTATACTGGATATAGTGAATCCATATTCTGTACCTATTACTGAATGGGGTGTCACTATTGAATCACAGGCCAGGTAGCCGTGCGGACAGAGTGTCCATATTCTAATCCGCATTCGCTTGCCGGTCGTGGGTTCGAGTCCCGTCGACTGCAGAAATTTTTCTGATGGCCCAAGAAAGTGTTTGGGATCACACGTTAAAAGGTAAGGCCCCCGTCATTCCTTGCTCGCACAAGACTCTCGAA